CGTGTGGTGTAAGTTAATTATATGTGACCCGCTCCAGCATATACGGACGAAGTCGACAAGCCATTGTTTTAGTAATTGAGCACGCACACATTGTCAATGCTGAAAATGGCCTACCTGGACAAAATTGAGATTTTTACAAAAATAAGTTCCTAAAGGCCGGCCGCCACCTACACGCTTCATCGTCCATCGCTTGCATCGTTGTAAAATCGGCTCATCGGCCTCATCGGCTCCATCGGTTCAAAATCAAACATGTTGATTTGGACGATCAACCCGACAAAAATAAAATCGTCTACAAAGAACGGCCACACCTACCGATATCGGCTGATTTCTATCGGGCCGATCAAATCGCCGTGAAAATCGGCTGCTGTGTGCGCGCGGCTTTAGTGGATATTTAATCGGATATATAGTTCAGATATCTGCTTGATTAGTTATGAGTCATTTTTAATAATAAAAAATAATAAATAAAATTTTTGAAGGCCCCTGACGCTCATCCCCGAACTGGGCCCCTTAACCCGAAACCGCTTTATCTCAAAAGCTGCATATTCCGGAATAAGTCGGTTTCCGATCTTCAAATTGCTGCTGATCGGTCATTCTTTAGATATAGCCAAATATATATATCATTTTAAAGGTATTAAAGATATGCACATAACTCAATTTGTTAGAATTCCCTACTTAATCCCTGGTTTTGCTGGACGGTCACATTATGCTAGCATGTGTATATGTTAATTATATGCTAGCATGTGTTATATGTTAACTATATGTCAACGTGTGTTAAATGTTAACTATATGTCAACGTGTGTTAAATGTTAACCGTGTGTTAACTGGTCATAAATGTTAACTATATGCTAACGTGTGTTATTACATGCTGTGTTCTGCTGCGTGTGTAGGATACGGTGATAGGACTTCAGGCGCTAGCTGAGTGGGGCGAGCTGTCAGATCCGGAGGCAAGCGCATGCAGATTGACGTCACAGCCGGACAGAAGAGTCACCGATTCACCATCAATGACCGCAATGCCGATACACTGCAGTCATGGGTCGTAAGTAACATACAGCAGAGCGGTCATCTAGTAGGGCGACACGGCGGTATCCACAGTTCTCTAACCCTAACATGTCTATCTCCCCCCATTTCACTCTATCTATCTATATCTTATATATATAATTATTATATACAACCCATCTATCTATCTATTTCGCAATCTGTGTGTATTTATCTGTCTCGCACACACACACACACGCACGCACGCACGCACGCACGTTCGCGAGCGCGCGCATTCTCTTGCTCGCTCCATTCTGCTCTCTCCTTCCCCTTCTTATGCTCTCTCTTTCTCTCCACCTACGCCTTCTTTCGCGCTTCGCGCAGAGCGCGCGCATTCTCTTTGCTCGCGCTCCATTTCTATCTCTCTCCCTTCCCCTCCATCCCTCCCTTCCCCTCTTGCTCTCTCTTTCTCTCTCCCTACGCTTCTCTCGCTCTAGCGCGAGCGCTCCCCCATCTCTCTGTCTCGCTCCCCAATCCCGCTCTCTCTGTTTCGCTCACTCGCTCGCTGCCTCTCCTCTCTCTCGCCCTCCCCCCTTTCTCTCTATGGTGTCGCCTTCCCCCTCTCTCCACTCTCTCTCTTCTCGCTCACCGATATATCTTATCTATCCCTCGTATCATCTATCCTTCTATTCTACTACTCTATCTACTTACATCTATCTATCTATCTATCTATCTATCTACTATCTATGCTATCTATCATCGTACTCTATTGATCTCATCTATCTCTAACCCGTACTGGATGTTTGGTGTCGCTGCTTCTCAACCGTAAGGTCGGCTCTAAGGAGCGTGCGTGTGCGCTACACGGCGTCGGGGCCGGGACCGGTCTGCTACAGATCATCCTACAGTACAATGAGCTGCGCAGGAATCATACTTCGCCGCATTCAAACCACGAGCCGCAAGGCCTGGAAGAAACGCCAGACAATTCCATTGACTTGGACGTGTGCGCCGGAGCGTACGAGCACGCCCATGCTTTGCGTCACGGTGCTGTTCAGTATCGTGGTGGTATACGTCCCATGTCTTGCGTCACGGTGCTCACAATCGTGCTTTCGGTATACGTCGGCCATGTCTTGCGTCACGCGTGTGCGTGTCGCTATCGTGCGTGTATAGTCGCCCCTGTTTGCGTCACGATGTCTGTCAAGTATCAGTAGCGTGGTATGGCGTCGTCATGATTTTGTGGTCACGACTGTGCTGTCGTATGTGCGTGGTATACGTCGCCATGTTTGCGTCACGGTGTGCTGTCGTATGTGCGTGGTATACGTCGCCATGTTTGCGTCACGGTGTGCTGTCGTATGTGCGTGGTATACGTCACGCAGTCTGGTTGGCGTTCACGGACGGGCCGGGCGCGGCGCGGCTGTGCTGTCGTATACGCTGCGTGGCGTATACGTGTTCGTCATGTTTGCGTCACGGCGAGTGTGCTGTACGTTTTGCGTGGTATACGTTCGCCATGTTTGCTCACGGTCATCGCTTGTGCATGTCTATGTGACGTGGTACTACGTCGCCATTGTTTGTTTCGTAACGGTGTGCTGTTGTTATGTGCTCGTGGTATACGTCGCCATGTTTGCGTCCGGTGTGCTGTCGTATTTTCTTGCGTGGTATACGTCGCCATGTTGCTCACGGGTGTGCCTGTCGTATGTGCGTGGTATACGTTGCCATGTTTGCGGTCATGGTGTGTTTCATATGTTGCGTGGTATACGTCGCCAGTTTGCGTCACGGTGTGCTGTCGTATGTGCGTGATACGTCGACATGTTTGCGTCACTGATGTCTGTGTTTTGTGCGCTGGTAGTACGGTCGCCCATGTTTGTCGTCACGGTGTGCTGTCGTATCCCCATATATGCGTGGTACTACGTCGGCATGTTTGCGCACGGCGTGTCTGTGTAAACGTATGTGACGTGGTATACGTCCGCATTGGTTGGCGTCCACGGTGTGTGTTTCGTAACGTGCGTCGTATACGTCGCCATTGTTTGGGCCGTCACGGAATGCGGTACGGCTTATCTAGTAATGACCTGAAGTAGAGACGAGATGATGTGCGTGTCGTATATATGTGGCGTTTAGGTCCTTAACTACGCCATGTTTGTGTATTTCCGTCAACTCGGTCATTGTGTCACAGTGGGTGGTCTCTATCGGGTGTCCTTTTTATTACCGTGGTATACGTTTCGGCCATTTTTTTTTGCGTTCCTCGGGGCGGCGCCAAATTTCGACCCTAGTAAAACGAAATTACCCAAATTATCACACCCAATTAGCGAGTTCTGATGAAATCCTCTATGACGTTTCTATCATTATGTAGGCACTGTTTTATAATAATGTCATAAGATCTATATTTTTCTAACTATTTTGCTTATACGTCGTCATGCCCATTTAATGTGATAGATGTGTACGGAATCCGGTCTGCCTTCGGCGTCAGTCCTCCGGCGTTCTACCCCTGCCGTTGCCGCCGTCCTTGGTGATGTCGGGTTCGATGATGGCATCCGATGCTGTGGCAGTGTACGGGTTGTATTTGTGCATTATCGTGACGTGAAGATGACGTGCGTGTTACGTGTGATAGTGAAGGACTTGCTGTGGTGATGCTCGTAGTCTTAGCACTCTGGTCAAAGGTAGTCTCCGGTTCCCCGATTGGCCGCTCATGGGGCCATGGTAGAGCCTTTGATGTGGCTGCGCCGATGCTCGTTGCCACTTTGGTTGAGTCTCCGGGCCGGCTCGGAAGCGGGGGGTGACTGTAACGGATTTCGGATTTGTCTGCAGGTCATCCGAGTTTCCCCTGCGTTGCCAGGGTTTGGGGGTTGATGTAGCTTGTGTGGTCGATCGACGTTGCTGTGGGGCGTGTAACAGTGCTGACGGCTTGTTTGCTTGCGTCTCGTGACACGTTGAGTGCGTGCGTGTAGTGTTGATGTGAATGTTGGTGACTTTCTTGAGTCTTGATGGATGTGCGTGGAAGCGTAACATTCCGAGGGTATATTATGCGCTTGGAGCCGTCAGTCAGTCTGTAGCTAGGTAGCCGTGAGCTCGTGACTGGTCCAGTGGGTGGCGGTATCGCTGGAGCTGAGGATGAGCCTGCGACCGAGGGGGATAAAGAAGGTTCAGCCACTTGCAACACCTGGCGGACCCCATGCTACGGAATTGGGCATTCCCTACAGAGGATCGTTCCTGTAGCTCAGTTGGCCTGGTTGATTGTTTGTATATCGTGGCGTTCCCGTGCGGGGAGTATTGACTTTTTTTGTCCTGGTCTGTTGACCAGTGGGGATAAAGTCGGGGCTCTCCCGGCAATGCCTTAGCTTTTTGGTTTGTTTTGTTTGTTTTGTGTTGACTTACATCCGTTGGTGACGTGGGAGCGTCCCGGTGTGGGGAAAGTTACACTGGTGCCTGACCGGATTGTCCTTGGTTAGCCTGAGTTGCTGCTAGGCTGGCGGCAATGCTACAGTCTCACGTAGGAGGGGTTTTCCCAGCAAACGCGCCCTTACGTATCGGATGTGCACCTAAGTGTGTCCATGGGTGTGTTCGTTAGTTGGCTGCCTCAAATGCCCCTTTACACCTCACGTTTTCTGCACGGTCTTGGTTGTGATTGTCTGGGTTATCCTTGTTGCATGATCGTTACCATACTTACGTAGGGAGGGTGAAGGGTGCTGTACCCCCCCTTAGGCCTGGGCAGGCTAGAAGTTTATGCCTGGCTACCATGCAGCAGGTGTGAGGTCCCCGGGAGTCGGAGGACTGTTGCCGTTTTCCGGTGTCCTTGCGCGATTGGTTGTACGCTTAGAAGCGGGCTTTCTTCGTTGATGGTGTGCCAAGAGCCTTGTGATAGGCAGCCGGTCGGAGGTGGCAGGCCACACACAAACACAAACACCACACCCACACACACACACACGCGCGCCCACCTACTGTACGGAGCTTACCGTACTTACCTAATTACTTACCTAATTAGAGACATCTTTGTTTTGCTGCCTTCGGTTAATGGCACTTAATACTATATATATATATATATGGGGAACTCCATGATTCGACGCTCTAGTGAGCACGTATTCCGGTGATAATTTGCGCCAAAACTCCTTGCTGATATTGTAACCCTTGATCCAAAGTGTGCTTTGTTTGTGATGGAATTTGTTTAAGAGACGCAGCAGCTATGCGTTACGCGCACAAGCGCTTCTTCTTCTTCTTCTTCTTCTTCTTCTTCTTCTTCTTCTTCTTCTTCTTCTTCTTCTCGGGTCACTACACTACACTCGGCCTAGCCACTGCAGCACACAGGATCTGGCACGGGGCTTGAAAGCCTCAAGGTCTCCAGGGATACAGGGCTCTGGTAATAGGGGGTATTTCAGGAGATGTCCCATATAGTCTGGTCCTCTCCGCAGCCACATTCGGTTGGGCCATCTTCAGTGTATCCCCATTTCTGCACAAGCCCTCATCTTTGCACATTTTCTTCCAGGCTGACGGCATTCGTCGCTAAGTGTTTCCACCAGGCTAAACCATACATCTACATTGATCCTGCACTTTTGGGGAAAGCCGTGAATTGGATGGTCAACCACATGCAGCAGAACGGCTCCTTCCTCGAAGTGGGAGGAGAGGTTCATCACAAAGCCATGCAGGTACATCCACGATACTGCGACGTGTAAATTAAAATATATGTGTATGTGATGTACTCAATATAATGCATTCATTCTTCTTAATTCCTTCTCTCGTCGGGGAATTGGGCTGGATGTATGTATCATCATGCTATGCATTCATTCAAATCTATGTTATTGTGATTGCATCACATCATGACGTTTATATATCTATTATCATATATTTATTTTGATTATTATTCGCTTCTTTCGTGAATGGAAACAGATGTAATTCCTTGCGTAGAAATTTAACACTAGCAACATAGTGAATATAGTAGAACAATATAGGAAGAATATAATAGAATAATAGAAACAAGTAGAAGGAACTAGGGAAAGTGAAAGTATAACGTAAATTTTATGTCGACACGAAAAGATGACACGATGTCTGTATTTTGATGAAATTCAAAGGTTTCAT